GGCAATAAAGCCGACAGTGCAAACGTCAAGATAAGTTGCTACGTGTACTGCTCCTGCAAGGCCATTTGTTTGGTGCTTGAATGAGCGCCAACTCCCGCGCCCGGCGATTGTACTGTCCCAGTCACGTCGCGACAAAGAAATACTATGCCGTCACGAAAGCACCACCATCTGGAAATATTGATGGGTTGAACAACATGAGAAGGATCTAGACTCGGCTTTCGCCATGCTTTCCCGGCCGAGTTGAGAGCGGATGAGGGGGAGGGGGGATGAACACAGCCTGTCAGCGCTGTCGGGGTTTCGGCTCGGGTTTGGGAGCACTGAAACAAGCCACCTCTAAATCCGACGCCATTCTGTTCTGGGCCTGAGGAGCTGTCATGCACATGCATTCAGGCGGTAAACCCATGGCGCCGCAAATGAGTTGGCGATAGCAGTGTCACACTGGGCAATAATCCCACAGCTGGTCCGAATCCGCGCCGACTCCCAGGGAACGACTGACGCTATTTTGCGTACGTATGCGCGCAATGGAGGAGCGAAAGGCACCGCTGGTACGGGGTACTCGCTCAAGTAATGAAGGCTTCCGTCCGCAGTCGCACGCGTCAGCCAAAGCAAAGTTGTCTGCGTAATGATCTACAAACAATCATCACGGCCGTGCGCTTGGGACAGACAGTAAATAATGGCAATCAAGGCTGTGTCGCGCTCATCGTTCTAATTCGCATTTGTGATCACCATGATGTGCGATGCGAGGAGGGTGCTATTTATTATTCCAAGAGAGATTGTCCCGACTAACTTCTGCACATGCAAAGAATACAGAGATACGAAGGAGAATCGAGAAACGTTACAGTGCATTTGGAATTGTACCTGCAAATTTCCTTTGGCCCCCCACGTTGCACTCTGTGCTTACATTGATCTTGTCCCTTCATGGTCATATCTTTGCTGACGACCCCACGCATGGCAAGCAGTGATGATGAACACGAGAAGGTTAACGTGATGAGTAATATCTTTTTTGTTTATTCACCGAAGATGATGGCAATCGGGCGAGCAGCTCGTGGGAGCCGGGCTGGCGCTTAGGATCCAACTCGACCTGTTGGGTCTGGCTCTGCGAATGAAGCTTGAGATTCCGGCAGACAGCTCCCTGAAACACCCGAGGTCAAATAGAACTTCGCGGAACAAGCACCGTAGGAGGGAGGTGCTGGGCCGGCTTCGCGCTCCGCTCGAGGCACATCCGGCTCCCCGACCCTGATCTTCAGGGCGCAGTGGTTGAAGGATGCCTGTGTCGCGGCGTCGCACCCATTAGAGCTCGAGCCGCACGAGCTTGCTGATGACGCCTTGATTGGAGATTGGAGATTGGCAGAGAAACAGAAAGGTACTTCCACACCCCTGCCGAGGTACTTGGAAGGATATGCAGGTAAGATCAGGGGTTGGACGGGCGCGGATTGCAGGGTGCGCCTTAAGGCCGATCTGTATATCAAATGAGATAACTCCGCCAGCAGCTTGTCCAAGGAGCCCACAAGCCCTCCCGCATCACCTACTACTAAGCACCTAAGCAGCGCATTTGCATCATGCCGAACGGGGACTAGCATCGATACTAAGGACCCGCCCGGCCGTCCAAAGGGGCAGGTTTGAGGTTGCCATCCCGGCAGTCTCTCCACCTTCACCACCCGCTCTCACGCATGGCCGGCATCCGTGTGCCGTATTGCATTATCTTTTCGGCAACACTGACCACATTCTACAGGGAATATCCTCCGGGTGGACGTCTATCGCGAAACACTCCGTGTTCTAGATGCAACTTTAGTATGCTTATCGGGACCCGCGGCACAGATTCATGGCGCGTAATGGTACCGAGTCTGCTCCTGCAGTGCGTATTATTACAGATAAACGTAAACGAGACGATTTGGTAATCACTACCAGATTAGAGTATCTTTTTCCTAAAGTGGTATATCGACAATAACTGATTGTCTTACACGCTTGGGTCTAGGGGAGAAGAATGCCTGGTGTATGGTATAGTCACACCCAATACAGACATAATATTGATTCGTGCTGTTACCTTGGGACAAGCAGCTTCCAATCCTCATCCCTCAACAACACGCCGTAATATTGTCTCGCTTCTCCCCATTCGATCTAGTTTCAGGGTATTCCTATGCAATCTTCGGAGCAGAGGGCAGCTCGGACACGTATGTGATAGCAATGCCGAAGGATCAACGCCGCCTCCTGCACGATAAACATGCTGGTGGTAGAGCGGTACAGGCCGAAAAGAGTTTATCTGTACCTGGGGCTTTCCCTTTCTATTTGATTGCGTCACTGATTGCCGTACGCTCAACACAGCCGCTGACAGGCAACCTCTACCATCGCTGATCCTCCCCACAAGGCCGATCCATGATGTGATAGACCCCGAATTCGCCCCCATTCCGTTGTTCTAAAACGGATGTACTGGGTTGGGGTCGAGGCTATCTTGCATCTCCATATGCCCATGGTGGTGCCCTTGGCCAAGAACAGCAACTGTATATAAAGGGTGCAGAACCCTATTCAGATCTTATTTTCATCATCATCTCACATCACTCACACCATTCACATAATCCCGCCTCATCAGTCTTTTTTTCGCCACCCTTCTCCACCACTTTCTCATACCGGACTACAGCCCTACATCCCGTCATAAACGCAAACATGAGCTTCGAGCGTGCTAGTGAGCTTATTGAGGTGCCATGGAAGCCCGAGGCTCCCAAGGTCGCTGCCAATGAGCTCATGAAGCCCACACGTACCTCCACAGCCGACGAGGAGCTGTTGGAGCGCATGTACGTCCTGTCAGCCTCCGAGGCTCTGGACAAGCTCAAGACTGTCACCGACGTCCCCCCACACATTAAGCTCTATATCAAGCTCCTATCAGATGACTACGAGAAATACAGCAAGCCGGGCTTCGAGCTCGTCCCCGACGCTCACGAGCTCGTCACATTGACCAGCGAGGGTCGTCAGAAGGCCATCGCTGAGATCCGCGAGAGCACCAAGAACACCCCCCTCTTCCCCGCCATCGAGGCTGCTTGGCGCGTATCTTCCAACATTGTCGACATTGCCGAGGGTCGCCTCGACTTCCTCAAGCTGCTGCTCCCTGATCTCCTCCTCCCTCGCTTCCACGAGTGGGCCAACGACCGCACCGAGCTGGGTCCCCTCTTCAGCACGCTCGCGAAGAGCAAGCCTGGCCTGAAGGTCTTGGAGATCGGCTCCGGCTTCGGCGGTACCACCACCCGCGCTCTCAAAGGCTTCAAGTCTGAGGAGGGCAAGGGCTATGATAGCTACACCTGGACAGACATTAACCCCATGTTCGTCAAGACGGCCGAGCAGCGTTTTGCGGCCAACGAGGCCATGGACTTCCGTTTGCTGGATATTGGCAAGGATCCCAAGGAGCAGGGTTTCGAGGAGGGTGCCTATGATCTGATCCTGGCCTCCAATGTAAGCGCCAGGTTGACAAGATCTGTGATTGGCTTGGCTAACCGCTGAACAGGTCCTCCACGCCGTTCCTAGACTGGACGACACTCTTGAGTACACCCGCAAGCTGTTGAAGCCTGATGGAGTCCTCTTCCTGCAGGAGATGTGCCCTCGTAAGTCTCATATTCCCACATCACAGGCGCTTACGACTAATCCATCTGCTACAGCCGGAAAATACCTCGACTTTATTGTGGTAAGTACATTACGCATGCTTCATATGGTCAATGTGCTAACATGTATAGGCGCTGCACCCAGTCTGGTGGATCGGTGTCCAGGATGCCCGCCCCAATGGTGCTCGCATCTCCGTCGACGAGTGGGAAACCCGTCTGCGCAAGGCTGGCTTCTCTGGAATCGATGCTCTGGTTCTTGACAACCGACCTCCTTGGTACTACAACGCCAACATGCTCACCCGCCCCAGCGCCTAGGGTTTTATGATCAGCGACTGGCGCATGGATATTTTGATTCTTTATGATTTGTTTTGGGTAGATTAGATTGTCGATATGATAGAAAAATCCTTATGAATGTTTCATGTTTCAATCTTCTCCTTCCACATGACAGATGATATAACGCCCTGTATGAACTCTACTCAGATATTTTACTTACCGAAGGTGCCTGATTATTTGTATCAGGCTCTCAAATTGAGAAAAGATAATTTACCTCAAATTCCAGTTAATGCACGTGAGAGTCTGAATCATTAATGTAGTCCTAGTCTCACGACCTTCTAATTATGGAAGTCAATATCTGCTAAATATGAACTTTATGGAATGAAGAAAGAGCCCAATACTTTTCATCGCATTGCCCTGGAAAATATTGCATGCCATCTAGTCCAGGAATGTCGATGCCATGTCTGCTATGACCCATAAATTGTGTCAGACTCCCAGTGACCGTGTTGCGTCTGAGTGGACTGGGGCTTTCATCGATATCGTCACGTATTTTGTAAGCATCTCTCTTTCTGAGAATAGGTACGTTTATGAATAGCATGCGACGATCTTGAGTTAGCTTGAAACGGTGCATTATGTGATCGTCGTCAACTTGGCGCCGCATTTGCCCCTTTAGGCATATTCAGAGCACTTACACATGATGCTCACCAAATGAAAATCATTACTTAACGTGACTAGACTAAGGCTTACCGGACAATTACATTCTTCACACCCCTGGGCTTCTCACTCTAGTGGATAGCTTAATTCTACCTTTATGAACATGCAGGGTAGACTTAAGCAGGAGTCTTAAGACAGCTTGGATGTGATCCCCTTTTAAGAGCAGCGCTTATGAAATGAATATGAAGAAATCAACATCTAGCTTATTTTGTTAGGCGAAATTCCACTAGGAACCTCGCTGCTTATCTAGCAGCCTTTGTACTAGATGCTTTGCATCGTGATTGTTGTCAAGACATCTCCGCTGTGGGAACCACGTTGCAGCGATTCATCCTGGTGGGTTCATAGATACCATATGCTCTTCCTATTTTCATTCGCTTACTTGGTCTAACGGTAAATACTACCGAATTCCTCAGGAATTCCACAACTGCTAACTTCCCTGAAGGTTAGGATCCACGCCTTCCAAGCGTGGGGTAAGGGTTCGACTCCCTTAGTAAGCATATCTGGAGATATCGCCCTTCTTTTTTGCTTGTCTTTTCATTTTTATCCTTTTCATCTTATGTGCGTGTATCTTGGTTGGTGCAGTGTTGACGTGGGCTGTTCTTCACTTTGGCGATAGCATCAACTAAAAGGAGAAACTGAGTAAGGCGAATAATGTTTTGCAACTATATAACTCGCGTCTATAAAAAACACCATAATCAAACATCCAAACCAATCCTAGTAAGTTCCGTCTCTAAAAAAATAAAAATAAGGTTCTTTGTACAAGAATGCCAAGCTTCGCGTCTATATGACACACAACGTCTCGGAAGCTTGTTGATCTCCACCAGCTTAAAGCATGACATGGATTGTCTGTGCAATGCTGGGGACACCCCTGTCGTTCAGAGCGAACAAATAATAGTATCCTGGCAGCATGATGCCATAGTCATTGGGGAGTTGGGCAGACACATTCTCGCCGTCAACGGTAACTTCGTTGAGGGGAATACGTCGCTGATCAGTGTTGACTGAGTGGGTGGCAGTTCCCATGCGGATCAAGGTGAACGTCGTAGCGCCACCCTCGACGGTGAACTCAAGGACGTCGCCGGCAAAGACAGTAGTGGCATCGACAGAGGTGATGACAGGTCGCTCAGCGCGGCTGCCGTCCTCGTTGAAAAGGTAGGGAGGGAAGAATATTTGGCCATCAGCATGGCTGTACTCCTGAGTGCCGCAGTCGATGACAATCGGCGACTCTGGGCCGTAGGTGGCACAGCCGCCACCGCCGGCACTGATGACAGAGCCGTCGGGAAGCAGCAGGGCGACGGAATGGTAGTTACGAGGAATACCAGCGGGGGCGAGCTGCCTCCACTCCTGTGTGACGGGGTTGAAGAGCTCGGGGATATAGTTGGCCTCGTCGTTGGTAAAGACAATAGAGTAGCGCTGGCCGCCGGTGACGAGAATCTGTCCATCAGGAAGGACGACGGCGTTGCTAAAGCCACGAGCAAAGGCCATGTCGGGAGCTCGCTCAACAGTGGCAGGCTCACCGGGCGCACCAATGGTAGTAATGTGGACGCGGTTGGTGGGGGTGCTGCTGGTGTAGCTGGGCGAACCACCGGCAGAGAAGATCTTTCCCTCGATAGCATCATAGAGGACAAACGAGGCGCACATAGCGTCGTCCTCCTCACGCCTGCCCGACAGAGTGACCCCACCGGTGCCGTTGGTGTAGAACCAGTGCTGGTCTCGGCTAGGGCCAGCGTGGAAGACGGTCTCGTTCTTCCAAGCAAAGAGCCAGGCATGGTTATCCTGACGCCAGATGCCATCGTGGTCTCGGGTCAGGATGGGGTCAGCATCAGCACCAGGGAGATCAGTCCAGGTCTCCTCAGCAGGGTCGTAGATTTCGCCGTTCTTGCCGCCGAGAGGACCATAGAATGAGCCACCAAGCACGAAGACCTTTCCATTGGAGAGAGTCGCGGAGGACTGGTAGCCACGCTCGTGGATCATGCGAGGAGCCTCGACAAAAGCCCCGGTGTGAGGCTCGTAAATGGTGACGGCGTCGGCGTTGGAGCCACCGTTGATGAGAATGCGGCCATCTTCAAGCTGACTGATACCAGGGCAGAACATATCATGGTGCGTGTTGGCAACCTCCATGTGGGAGATTTCACCCGTCACAAAGTTGAAGTCGCCAAACTGAGTCTTGCCTTCGGTTCCGCCAAAGGTATCAGGAGAGTAGGCCGAGAAGAAGAGGATACGCTCAGGCTGAGGAGCACGAGGAACGACATAGGCAGCAATGGGAATGACAGGGAACCGGTAGACATCTGTCCACTCGCCAGCAACGGACGGGTCCAGGACGACGTTGCGGCTGATGGAGGTATAACGGTCACCGCCCTCGACAACCCAGAAGAGAGTTTCCTCAGGCTCGCGAGCCTTGATGTGGCAGGCGTTGGTCTCGCTGTCCCAGACCGACTTGCTGCATCCGCAGTCGTGCACGCAGATGTTGACACATTCCTGGAGAGAAGTAGTGTCGTTGACAACACGTACGTCAGCACCACGGTAGTTGGTTCCGGTGCAGCCAAAGTATTCCGAGGCCGTTGAGTTTCCTCTGTGGACCATCGACAGGCGTTGCTCGGGGCACTTGGCGATGAAGGGGATGCGACTACCAACGGCTGGCTGCTCTTCTTGGCGGACCAGGTTCTGATGCAGAACGACGCGGGAGAAGACAGGAGTGATGGCTGCAACGGCAATGACCGCGCAGGAGGAGAAGAGCTTCACCATGGTAGTGTGAGTGTGTGTATCCAGTAGCGAAGGAGCACGAGGGATATGGGAGGAAGTGAGGGTGTGAAGAAGAGCCGGAGAAGAAGGAGACAAAAGAGATAAATATGTGTGAAGAATGTGGAATGGTGAGTAGTGAAGAGAAGCATCCTCCTGATCGTCTGTCCAAGGGGTTAAATAGAAGCATCGTGGCGTCCTCAGCCCACCTCCACGTGGATGTCCGAGGTCCGTGATATCCTGATTCTATTCACATATTGGCCGATGACAATGAGTAGTTCGCAGTTTCAGACACCCAAACGAGTATAGCCAAGAGGAACTATCGACAGATGTGTGCGCATGGAGCGAAGAATTTGACCGGAGCGGGACCCTTGCCTCCAGTCTGGTCGAGGGAAAACATGTCATCGGATTCGCACAGCCGTGTCAGCATCGAGGATTCCTGATATAACAACCCTGGTACGAGGTAGGCGAACCCGGACCCATCATATGCTTGCTTACTGTAGGGTTCTGCGGGTTTGTGATTGGGTAGGAGTGGTGAGCAGAGAAGGCAGCCTTATTTTACCGAGCTGAAGGGTCGATCAGCGATGGCGCCGCGAGACCTCTCACGTGGGTGCCCCGGCGACTTTCTACCTTGGACGAGGGTTCGGCCTTTGTTGGGTACATGATCCTTCTGAAGAAAGCGCGGATGAAGCATCATGTTGGGAGCCGACGTAGCCGTGGAGGTCCCCGTGGTTTTTTTTCCTTTTTGCTTTGGGGGGCATATGACATATCTCATCTTTCTCGCCTTTTCGTATACGGGCTGACCCTCTGCTGATGGAGGGTTGAAGCCTGTCGATGCTCAGCTGAGGTCAATGCTACGGTATCACGCGAGATCAAGCGGACCTGCATATGCGTGTCTTGGCAGGAGCAGCAGCGTGGGATTTGGAAGAACTGTGGAATGTCTCCCACGTGTTTTGCTGCTAAGTTTATAGACCGCGTGAGATATTAGATGATGGCCCATACTGCGAGTCTGACACATGGGTATCGCTTTGAGCATACTACGTAGTGAGGTCATCCATGAGATGGAATCAAACCAGGGATTTGTCACAGGCCCTCGTTTCCTTCATCTGACTGTCGGTTACAGGAGCGTCCATGTCCAATGTGAGCCCCCAACGCAGCTGCTACGTAGTTCGGTCGGTTCTCGGGCTTGGTGTTTTCTCATATCCTCGAATGCCACTGATACTGGTCAACGGCGAGAAGATCCCGGTCTACAGCTTGCATGATGTAGATCACCGTTGAAACACTCTTGCAGAAATAGTACTCTGGACACTCTACAGTACATGAACGACCTAGCCAGCGTCGATGATAACGCCTAACTAGTCTTGGCTGCTCTTGGCTGCTCTTGGGTCCTTCAGCCCAGGTTGTGGAGTCGCTACAGGGAATCCCCAAGGGTGTCCGATCTGTGTTACAGACATCAGGGGTCAGTCTGCTCTAGAAACGATGGGCAGCTGCACCCAAACAAAGTCCCATATGAATAGACACCGAGATTGTTCTCCGAGAGTTGCTTCCCACCCTCCCGTCTTGGGGCGTGGAGGAGCCCAACAGAATCCTTCATCCTTATCAATCAGCCAATAGAACGGTCTGTCCCGAGCGGCAGGAACAGTAAAGATTTCCCACTCCACCATCCATGAGCATTGACCAAAGGTGCTACAGGATCCGTGGCGCACCATGGCTGCACACTAGGCAGAGCAGAGCAGCCAAGCGAGCGCCATTCACCGAGGACAAGACCGACGTTTAGTGGGAAGGATTCGATAGTTGGGCCAAGGGGAAATAAAGGATGAGACGGCGCGGCATATATCACCAGGCCGCTGACAAAGTTCCCTGCGAGGGAGATACGAAGTCGCCTAGCCAAGACGCGGCCCAAGACATGAAAATAGCATCGGATTTGCAGCACATCGGAATTAACCAGACAAAAGGGACACTTTGAAAGCGTGCGGTGTGTAAGCGACAAGTGAGTGGCGCACGCTTGGTGGTACAAAATGTCACCGGGGTCTGCCGATCGACAGGGTACGGCTTTACCCTCCCTTGGAGCTGCTGTCATCTCCGTGTGGGCCGTCGGCAATGCAAGCTCTGGATAGAGAAAGAGGCCGTGATTTGGAGATGCCGGATCATATACTCGGATTAGGCAACTTGATGCAAGCCTTGTGCCCATCTGCAGCTCGTGGGCATGACCTTCGGCGCATTAATACCCATGCTCGCCCCTTTCGACGTTCCCCAATGCTCACTCAACACAGTCTGGAAGACGCTCACTGTGGATGTTACCACAGATGCTCTGCTGACGCAAGATTGAGCCGTGCCTGCACTGCGCCGCTGCCAACACGTCAGAGGAGACAGACGCCCGCCTACGTAAGCGGAACATGGGACAAGGTCCTATCGGACGGCTATCGCCTTCGGTGATAGGCGCAGCCCGAAGCGTCCGTGGGGAGGAACCCTTTCTGTCGGGGGAATTTGAGGCCGCTGCGGCAGACGGATCCGTGGCAGCCTAACCGATGGCCAGTGGGCTGTCTGGCGGGTCGTTTGATGTCCGTAGCATCCCGTCATGGTCTCCGGCACGGAAGCTGCGGAGTTGTGGTCTTCATCTCGGGCCTAGAAGCAAATCGTCAAGGCGAGAGGCGAGGTCAAGCCGGCCTGCAATGGCGGTTCCTGGTGAACATGACAGCGGTGTTGGTGGTAATTATGCCACGTTCATTTTACTAGCACTCACATACCGCGTCATATTGTG